TGCAGTCAATCATTATCCTGGTGATTATTTCGCAGATAAACCTAGTAACCCCGCCCCCTTTTTAAAAAAACGGCTCTTTTGAACGGCTCTTTTGAACGGCTCTTTGAAAGGAACGGAGCCATAAGATCCGGCTCCCTTCAAAGAGCCATAATTCCCATCACTACAACACACAGCAAAGAAGAATTACCGAAACTAAACTAAAAGTGTTTTTATTTATTTATTAAAATTATAATTACAATCCGAAAAAACAGGGGAAGCCTGGCTTCCCTTGGACTCCAAGAGAAAACACCACTGGTTATGGGACATAATTCACCATTGAGATTATTGTGTTGCAACCCGGACCCGTTAGTGAGGGTACCGGGGTTTGGTGTCATTCATGCTAGCTTGTCATGCAGAGCAGCACATGTAGTTACATTGTCTTGATTAATGGATAATAAAGTGTGGAGTTCCATACTGAACACACCACCTTTGACTCCCTTTCATCGGCTCTACACTGGTGACCCTGACGTTTTCGTGAAAGTTTCCGAAGACTTAATGAACATGGCTGATCGCGATGTTTTTGTTAAACTGCCAGAGTTTTGGGAGCATGCTGCTGCGGCGTGGTTCGCACACGTGGAGGCACACTTTGCCTGCCGGCAAGTCCGTGAAGAGGGCTTGAAATATTTCCATGTGGTAGCAGCAATGGGAAGCTCCACATCATCCAGGTTGGTGGGATTTATCGCAGACCCCCCACGCCATGGCAAATATGAGGCGATTAAGGCCTTTCTCCTTAAGACATTTAGCTTATCTGCTAAGGAGAGGGCCCGCTAGATTCTTGACATTCAAGGCCTAGGAGACAGCAAGCCATCTCAGCTCATGGAGAAAATGCTGAATCTGCTAGGGGGGGAAGACCCCCGGATTTTGTTTATGGAGACGTTCCTGCGCCACTTGCCTTCCCGGGTTCAGACGGCGCTAGCCAACACGTCCATTACGGAGCCCCGTGCCTTGGCTGAAGAAGCCGACCGTTTTTTCCTGGCTACCCAGCAGTCCGGTGCCGCACATTCAAGACTTTTCAGCACATCTGGCCGGTACGCTGGTGTTTTCTAAAGTGGACCTGGTGCGTGGATACCACCAGGTGCCCATGCATCCCCTGGACGTTCCCAAGACGGCAGTGATAACGCCGTTTGGACTTTTCGAGTTCCTGCGGATGCCTTTTGGGCTCAAGAACGCCGCTCAAATGTTCCAGCGCCTGATGGATTCGGTGCTACGGGACATGCCGTTTGTGTTCGTCTACCTGGACGACATACTCGTTGCCAGCGATGGTAACCTGGGTGGTAACCTGGGTGGTAAGGCCGAGCGCGTCTCTGTGTACTGGGTGAAGGTGGCCCATTTGGATTTGGGCCAGCCGGTGGTGCTGGCACGACCTCCGCGACGGGGGCGCCCCCCGGCCTTGATCACTGAATTGAGACCCATTGTTCCGGTCTCGCCTCTTCCGGAGGCCGCACATGCAGAGGTCGTTTTTCCGACTCCCGTGCTCAGGAGTCGTGGGGGTCGACCTGTCGTTCCGCCCTGCCACGCTGACTTTGTTTATGGGTGAATTCTGGGGGGGCTTGTGTGGTGACACGTTATGGGACATAATTCACCATTGAGATTATTGTGTTGCAACCCGGACCCGTTAGTGAGGGTACCGGGGTTTGGTGTCATTCATGCTAGCTAGTCATGCAGAGCAGCACATGTACTTACCTTGTCTTGATTAATGGATAATAAAGTGTGAAGTTCCATACTGAACACACCGCCTCTGACTCCCTTTCATTGGCTCTACAATAAATAAGCATGTAAACACCGTGGACCTAACCTCCTCTAGGAGGGTCCGGGGGCATGCTCCCCGGGTCGATTTTTTTTTAAATATTGAAGTTAAAAGCATCAATCTGGTGCACTTTGAGAGCAAAATTAAGAGATCTATGGATACATCTCTCAACACCCATACGAAACAGAACTGTAAACAGATTTTCTTTTTCTTATATTTTACAAATCACTCCCCTTTTAAACTGTATTCTTGTTTTGTCATATAGTAACTGTTTTTCATTTATTCTCTCTGGCTGTCCATCTCATAATGTTCACATAGAAACTAGCTGTCAATAGGAATATCATTCAGAATCACTTGAGAATTTTCGTCTTTTTTAAGAAAAAATGTTCTTATGTCCATCTTCAAAAACTCTGAGTCCGACTGACAGTTTATTTTAAACATTGTCACAGCTCACAGGATAGGTGAGCCAATAAGACAGATGTTTATTTCCATTCAACTCTCTGGTTGGTCTGGTGCCTTGCCTCTGTTGCATTCACTGAACACGGGAAATTACAATCCTGCCGTCCTCTCTAGTGTCATGATGAGGTTCAGGTAAAGCACGGTTAATGTATTATATTATTGACTCAATAATATAATACATGATTTTGAGAGTAGGCAATCTAGGCATATTAACAAAATTAATTAAACATACTTATCACGGCGACGGTGTAGGCAACTGAGATTGTTTTAGTTTTTTTTGTTGTTGCTAGGGGGCCCTTAGTGGCTGCGGGGCCCTAAGCGGCCGCTTATGTCGCTTAATGGGTCGGGCCGGTTCTGGCTCTGGCTCTGACTGCAGACCTACAGACCCCTGCAGAATGCAGAGTAACATTAGTTCCGCCTATCGCACCAGTAAAGCCAATACAGTAGATCGTAATATTAAAAACTTTTATTTTGGAGAAAAAACGCCCCTGCACAGAAATCCTATTTATTCATCCATGCATGGGCGTAATTTCCATTGGGGACAGGGGGGACATGTCCCCCCCACTTTTCAAAATCCCATTTGTGTCCCCCCCACTTTTTAAATGTGTTTATTATTATTTTTTTACGCAAGCGGTCATCGTCAAGGAGGAGCGTCTGTGTGTGTGTGGCACGAGCGCATCTTGTGAGAGAGAGATAGAAAGAGAGAGAGAGGGGGTTGTTGTTAGCATTTGGTACTAGCTCGGAGCTAACGGAGATTAGTAGCTGTTTCAACAATAAGGAGAGGGAGAGCTCTTTCCTGTCGGACTTTGAGAGACTGAGAGAGAGACAGACAAATATATAGAGAGAGAGAGACAGAGAGAGTTACGTGGGTTGTTGTTAGCATCTGTTGCTAGCCCGGAGCTAACGGAGATTAGTAGCTGTTTCAACAATAAGGAGAGGGAGAGCTCTTTCCTGTCGGACTTTGAGAGACTGAGAGAGAGACAGACAAATATATATAGAGAGAGAGACAGAGAGAGAGACTGAGAGAGTTACGTGGGTTGTTGTTAGCATCTGGTGCTAGCCCGGAGCTAACGGAGATTAGAAGCTGTTTCAACAATAAGGAGAGGGAGAGCTCTCTCCTGTCGTAAAACAGGTTCACATGGATAGGATACTAGATAAGTGTGCACACTCTGTATACACTACACATTTTTCTTGGATTTGTTAACACTATAGTCCCTAATATATTTGTAGAAAGGCAGGAAATGGAATTAAATCGAGAAAATGTTTCATTGCGGAGGACCCCCTGTTTTCTGTCCCCCCCACTTCTCAAACCAAAGTTACACCCTTGCATCCATGTGTTGGTTGAATCCGTTCTAAAGTCCAGGAAACTTTAAAACTAACGGTAATTGATTTAAGGACTAATTGATTTTCACCTCATCACTCAGTTACTTAACAGTTTTCATATAAATGTACTAGTTTTGTAGGCTACTGGTCATGTTTGAATTTATTTACCTAAGACATAATAGTAAATAGATTTTTGTTTTAAAGGTAGGCCTACTTTATGAACACTTTCAGATTTATGCATATTTGTGTTGAGGATGGAGTAAAAATATAGTTTCTCATTATTATCCTGCTTGCAGGTGTGCACATTTTAGGGCTTCTGTTTGTAGAAAGTTCCAGTGAAAAATAATAACTTGAGAAATCTTATGCGCACCCCCCCTACCCCCCGTTAACAAAACATGGAACAACCAGTGATCATCATTCTTTGGGTATACAGACAGATTTATTCTGCAAACAAAATCTGTGACAATATAAAATACAATTATTCAAAGTGATGATTAGAAAAATAGAGAGATTAAGAATAATAAAACAGATAGAATGCATTTTAAAGGGGACCTATCATGCAAAATGCACTTTTGTACATCTTTTATACATGAATATGTGTCCCCGGTGTTCCAGGGAACTCAGCAAGTGTCAGAAAACACAACCCTCTCTATTTTCCTCCATACGCAAATCTCTAAAAAAGGGGCTGCAATGGATCTGATAAAAACTGATCCAGATTTGAACACGTTACTGACGTCAGGACGGTGGCGCTACGGCTATTGGGCCAACTCTCCACCTATCAGGGGAATGTGGGGTTGGGCCACGGCCGGCCATTGCCGCTCGAAAGCGCTGGAGACGCTGTAGTACATATGCCAGGCCTGTAAGTGGCGCTGTAGTCTGCCACAAAAGCAGTGAAGAAGACTTCCCGCCCATAGTTACCATGGTTACCCTTCTGTTTATTCTCCGCTGTGGCTTTTTTTCTCCCTCCCCGAGGCAAGCGTTTGCTCCCGCTGCTTTAATTCAATGCAATCCCTCCCCGTCGAGGCAAGCACTGTAATTCTCTCCGGTTAGTCCACCAGCAGATGACAAACACCCACCTCTCCGCCTCTTCCAAGGAACGAGGGGACCGTGCGGCAGAGTTTCAGTTTCAGTTACTTTCGCCGGTCAAGATGTCCGTTAAAGTTTAAATCTTCTGGACAAAATTAGAAAAGTGCCGGTCAAAGGTCTTCTTTGTTATTTATTGAGCTTTAAAACAAATGAATAACGACTCTATATAATAAAACACGGAGGACGGAGATCTCTTTTTCTCCCCCTCTTCTGACAGCCCAGCAGCTGATCAGAGCACGTCTCCCCTCTCCTGCAGGGGGGCGTGGTCAGCAGAATCAGACCTGTAGACAGCAAACAGCACATAGAGCGAAATGAGGCATGGCTAAAATGCATGATCTGTTTGGTATTTTGAAAACAGAAACGTATAAATATACCTTATATAGGTATGGCCCTACAATATATCATTTAAATATAGCATGATAGGTCCACTTTAAGTAAGACATTGTGTATAGTGTGTTTGCATTATTTTTGGCGATGAAGCTTCAGTTGCGATTTGGAGTCAACACAAGACCCTTCCTCAGGGTGTGCCTAATTTCGGGCATCTGCTTTACTGCACTAGGCATCGCACCGCCCTCTTTCCCGGCTACTTCATTGTTCACCCGACGGAGGATAACTTCAAGTTCTTCGTTCCTAAAAAAAATATGAGGTGTAGAAAAACATGTTACTATCACATAATGGTCACATAGTCAAGTGTAAAATATACATGGTAACTATCTTATCATCAGATTTAGATCTACAATGGGATATTTCAATAACTATATAATTAATGTTGAGTTTGAGATTTACCTCAGACAGCCTACTTTTAGCTGGTTACAGACAGATTGGATGAACCAGCTCCCCTCCGTTTTGCTTCGTATAGCATAATAATCTTCAACAGTGGCACTATGAACTAGAAAATCTGCTTCCTGAGGGATGGATGTCGAGTGAGAGTCATCAGCCTGCAGACCTTTTAATAACACCCCAGGATGTATCTGCCGTCCCTGGCAGGCCTGGATCAGGAACACTTTGGGCTTGGCAGTGAGGGGAGATTGAGGAGTTGCCATGAAGGTTCTCGTTATTTGTTTGATAGGGAGGGGCTGCCCATCAATCCCCAATACGACACCCTTGTTTCCGTGACTCAGAACACAGCAGATGAAGGCATCGCCATGCCGAGGAGCCTCTTGAAGATCGGTGAATCCGCTGCAAGTCCACTCCTTGACATTGAACTCCTGCAGCTGAGAGAAGTTGCACTGAGAAGCAAAGCATACCAGCGCTCGCTCCATCTGGTCCTTGGTTTGGTCTTTACACATCAGCACTCTGAACCTCAGCCAGCTGAACACCTCTGCCAAGCTTTCTGCAGTGAAATAAAACCTAGTTAGGCTTCAACAGGCAAAACCGGGATGATAATGTAAATCTGTCTACTCTGTAACATACCAGCATCTATATCGGTTCCATGTCTCACTCCACCATCCCCAAAATGTGCGTTGTTTATGATCAGGCAGAGGCCGGTGGGCCGGCTGTTCAACTCGTACTGCCCGTCCTGAAAACAACAGAAACAATTTCACACAAACACAAAATGATGAAACTAACTGGAATGGATTAGGGCTGGGCTATGTATGTAAATATATTTACACATTAAGGTTTTTGATGAATAATAATAGCTATGTGGATATAATGGCTAAATAGTGCTGCAGATAATTAAATATTTTAATAAATAGTCCAAAAGTGGATACAAGTACTCAAAACAAACAAACTCCTTTGAGTTTACTCTTTTGAAAAAGCCCGCTTGTCACTCAAAAAATCCTCCCACTCAAAAGATGGCGACAATTTTCAAGATGGTCACCAATGATGGCTTGGAAATGTCATTTTTTGCCATAAAATCACTTTTCACGTCAAATCATACAATTTAATAACAACGTAGAAACAAAATTCAGAGGTCAGGAATGACTCAGAAGTTGTCTCAGCCATAAAATCTAAATAATCTGCCAATAGAAAACTGGGTAGCCAATAGGGATGGGAATTTGAAAGCAAATGTATATTCGAATATTCGACCCCCAAAAAAACGGTTAACCGATTAACCGAAATGTACATATCCTATAAAAAATAAAAATAAATAAATACATGTTCAAATAAGTATAGAAACCATGGGCGTAGGAAGCATCCTCAATGTGGGTGGGACAATTTGACAGGGGGTGTGGGCAGGTGGTGGACCTCACCTCCTCTAGGGTGGTACGGGGGCATGCTCCCCCGGGAAGATTTGTTTTTAAATGTTGAAGTCAAATGCATCAATCTGCTGCACTTTGAGAGCAAAATTAGGGACTAAATCTATGGATACCTCTCTCAACACCATATGAAACAGAACTGTAAACAGATTTACTTTTTCTTTATGCATATTTTACAAATCACTCCTTTTAAACTGTATTTTTGTGTTACTGTCCTATAGTATGAGTTGGAATTATTTCATACCTGTTATTCTCTTATTTTGTATAACTATTATGATCATATAAAGGTGTGCCTTGGAAATACTTATTTACATAAATGATTACCAAACCGTTTGAGACCCACTACTTAGACTAAAGTGAACCATCTAAACCCTCAGAGAGTCCTTTACCTCACTGAGCTGGAGTTATCAGCCTCTCAGTCTGACAGGAGAGGACTCTCCCTCCACCTCTTTAATAACAGCGCCTTATATCCGGGTGCTAGTGGAACACACTCGTGAACTGTTAGCACCGGAGCCTCGCAGCGTGGAAACTGTGCCGCGCATCATTTTACAACTAAAGACACAGCTATACAAAAACCGCAGCATGTGTACGGCTCATGTGTACGGCTCTGAGAATCTGCCTTGGTACAAAGTAGCAGTGAAAACATGGTATGGAATTTCATTGATTTGGGCATTCTCACAATAAGCAAGTGGAATGGATTTGATAATGAAGCACTGACACAGTGCTCTACAGAGAGTGGCGAGTGGATAGACCGATTCACGGACTTTCCGCATAGTAAAAGTGGGGGGGTCTAAACTAATCATTTTAAAAGGTGGGGGGGACTTGTCCCACCCTCATATAATGGCCCATGATAGAAACCAAGTCGAATTTATTGAACTGGTGATCACAGTTTGAACAGTTGACAGCTATAGGCCTAAAGCTTTCATGCTTAAAAGATAACTTGGTTTTTAAATTAAAGAGGGATCATACACGAACAACATAACGGGTTAGGGTAACGTAACCCTATTACAACAGAGATCAACAACCTATAACAGGGCCTATGCACAGAATGCAGCTATTCAATACTCATTCTTGTTTAAGAATATGAGCATGTCTACATGCTCAGGGGAGAGGCGGGTGCGGAGGCGAGTCACAATCAGGCCAGCTGTAGAGAAGACCCTCTCAGCTGGAATTTGGGCATAAGATGAGGTTTGAGTCTGCGTGATCTGCGTGTAGGGAGGGGCAGCAGCCATATCATTAGCTAGAACTAGCTAGATCTGATGGATTTGGACATAAACGCGAGTGAAGTATAACCGGACACGAGAGAGAGAGATCAGCACCTGCAGCTCTGCCCGCTGTGAGGGACCAGTGAGCGGAGCAAAACACACCTTTAGACCTAACACACTTAGCTATGGCACTGTCGTATACATTGAATTATTCCACCTGATCATATGTAATTAACTTAGGCACCCCTCCCAAAAAAAGGAAGTTTTCGAATAGCTGAATAAGTTCGAATATTCGAATATTCGATTAATCGTTCCCATCCCTAGTAGCCAATATGCAATGCAGTTGAGGCGGTGGGGTATGTTGGGGTGTAGAAGTTTAGTACTGTAGAGCAGGGGTGTCAAACTCAAATACACAGTGGGCCAAAATTTGAAAAATGGGTACTAGTCGAGGGCCGGACTGGTTCAATGTTTATTGCAAAACTTATTGAAATGAACTTATTGCACATATTAAACCTGGAACTAACACAGCTTAAATGATTGCCTATAAAAACAACATTAAACATTAAATAATCAGTTGCATTAATTTCTTATGGCTCTATCTGCAGCTTTTCCGGAGTCATTTCTTATGATTACATTTTTCCACAGGCCAACAACAGTTTCAAAAAAACAATTTCCCTCAAAGAAAAAAAACAAACATGCTCTGTTGTCGCAAGAGAAAAAGTGCAGAATGAAAGATCCATTGAAACTCAGTTTGCTGCTCTGTGATGCTAGTTCAAGCCAGATACTTGGCATCTCATCTTGGGTGCAAGTTCATCAATGTTTGGGGTCAGGCTCTGAGCTGAGGAAACCCTCAGGATTGAGTGAAGGTGTGCGTGCAATATACCGGAGGGCCAGATCTAATAGTAATATAAATTATCCTGCGGGCCGAAATTAAATCCACCAAGGGCCTGATTTGGCCCCCGGGCCTTGAGTTTGACACATGTGCTGTAGAGGTACCAGTGGCGTAACAAGGTTGTGATTGGCCCCGGTGCAAATATTGTTTTGGAATAATATATCTAAAAAAATATATAAAAAAAGAATATCTAAAAAAAATATATAAAAAAGACAATTTGAATTTTTTTTTTTTTTTTTTTGCATGGGCCCCTGGCCGGCTCTGGGCTCTAATGCTGCTAACATAGAAGACTCTTATTAGTATAAGTGTGGTTTAGTTTCCCAAATGCTTTCTAATAAGTCCCACATTGTAACATTCTGTGTTTAAAAGGACAGAAAATAGCTCTGATGAATTTTCTAAATAATGAATTTGGCTGTAATTCAAAACCAAAATCGCAGAATTTGATCGAGTGGTGAAAATGTTAAAATATGGTTTACTTGGATGGAAATGACGGCCATCTTGGAAATTGGTCGCATTTTTTTCAAAATGTAAGTGGCTGAGGATTTGTTTTTGTTTAATAAATTGCTCCATGGGGACGAACAAGAAAATGTTGGTGCTTGAATCCACTTATGAAAGATTTTTACATCTATATGCAGCACTATAAGATAAATAATAGTACAGAAAGAAAAATGTATGTAAATTCGGTAATTAACATGGAAATGACACTTATACAATATTACCATGTCAGAAATGTAAGAAGATATCTAGTCCCATTTTAACTTTACTTTTTACCTTTACTATTCTTAACTAGTTTGAATCTTACCCTAACAGTATTACAATGCTATTATGAGTAGATGTTAATACAGGATAATAAGTATGTCAATTGTGTCTTTTTTACAAAGGCTAACTAAAAACCCTGACGCAAGCATTTTAACATTAAGTGTGCTTTTTCAATATTAGGTTATCTCACCTCCTTTCGCCTTTGTGGCTGATTATCTGCGGGAATACGAGGGAAACAGAAGGACACTTTACAAACGTAACATTTTAAAATGTCAACCTCACAGTAACACACATTTGGCATGCGTATTAGTCATTTGTATGCATGTTAACGTACCGGTGTTGTCAACTGAACAAGCCTGAACCGGGTATGGTAAGAGGCAGTTTTCCTTCTTCAGTATGTTCTTCAGCTCAGGGTAAGTCTCCTGGATATCCTCATCAGTTTGCAGGAGGTTCAGGAAGGCTAAGCAGGTCTCCTCTCCTTTGTTCATGATCTTATCCACCAACTCCACAACGTGGCCCTCTTCATGTAGTTTGTTGATGCTTTTCAAATTGTTGTACTCACGTCGAGTTATCAACTTCTTCTGATCAGCTTTGTTGAGGATTAGCCTGTAGTCTGCACACAACGTTTCCAGAATGGATGTCTTATTACTTCTCAAAATGTCCATGCTGAATCTGACAGGGAGAAAAACAACACGCATATTGGTCTATTTTTCTCCAAAAATAAAATGTATCATTTTTGTACTCAAGAGTTGAAAGCAACAATATTACATGTAGCAGCAAGACCCTTCAAAATGAATCGATATCGCTTTAAAATGTAGTTTAACTATCTAGATTGAATCCATGCTAACCTGCTATAGGCTACATCAACTACGTTTTATAACTACTTCCTACGATAATGGCATTAAGTGACGTTGCTAAAGTTAGCCACTTTATCAAAGTCGACCTAAATCGATCAAAGGAACAACATGTTTCAGTGCACTGTACCGTGTCTCTTCGTCGTGCCCGTGAGAACAGTAGCAGGTGTGCTTTCGTTTTCAAAACTCGGAAATCCTGTATATTTCCCATGTCTTCTAGGTTAGTAGGCTAGAATAGGATGTGCAGACAATGGACATGCATGTGTGTGTGGTGCTAGCCCACCACCTAGTGGAAGATTATCAGCACTGTGTGCCGTGGTAGAGAGATAGTGACAGTAGCCGAACAGTTAGTCAGTGATGCTTTTATATCCTCCACCCCATGGGGCTTTCCTTAGCAAAAAAACAAATTATTCAAAACAAAACTAAATTCGTGTTTCGAGGGCTGAAAACGGCTCTAGTCACTTTGAAATAGTTATTATTCTGCTAAGTAGTCGACCTTCCCTGGTGGTCTAGTGGTTAGGATTCGGCGCTCTCACCGCCGCGGCCCGGGTTCGATTCCCGGTCAGGGAACTACATTTTTGCTGTTTTATTTAGGAATATATAATTCTGTATTACACTTTTATAGCTGTGTCTAGTTGTAAATAAAGAACGTACTTCAAGAAATATATGCTTCATTTAGGAATACTAATTTCTCATAATTGTTTTAATTTTGATGTCATTTTTGATGTTTTCAGTTTCTAAATTAGCAACCTATAGATTAAGTAGTAATATGTTTCAAGGCAAGATAGAAAAATATCCAAATAACTTGAGAAACCTCTTAAATTCAATTACAGGTTGAATGAAAGTCAATGTACCAGTGTCCAGTTCAACAAATGTGTACAATTATTTTGAAATATCATGGCACAAGTCGCGACCTTCTCGATTTGTTTTTAGAAAATGAACACATTTAATTAATTTCCCATTGTCTTAGTCTTACTCTATAGTTTTTACTGCATATTTTAAGGCTAAGACATATTTTGATTTTGTAGTGTATTTATCAAAAAATTACAAATTAAGTAACAGGAAGAAGCCTAATGTTTCCTGAAGCCTTGTACAGTGTGTAACGTCATGCTTCTTCTTTCCCCAGAAAGGTTTCACTATCTTCAGTCATCGAGAGCACTGTCAGAGTGGAGGGACAGCGGGAGGTAACGGTTTCCTATTACTACTATTTACCACATTGTACTGTAGATGGATTGTTTAAAATTGTATTCAAGAAAGCTTACACCTAAAATAGCTAAGCATGGGTTTCCCCTTTATATATGCAGTCTATGGTTTATCACTTTTCAGAGAGAAAAGTTTAGCAGGGTGAAAAAAAAACAAAGCATTGACAACGTTTTCTTTTATGTGGAAAATGTAAAAGCTTTTGTCGGCAGTAGAAATGTAATTTAAATATTAAGATTCATATGAAGAAAGCTGTTTCTTTCAATTTGATTACACGGCATAAAGATGTCTTACTGTCAGTCACTACATTTAAGCACTTAAAAAGGGGAAGTATAAACAGGCAGGAAATGTGTTAATGTGGACCGATACAAGAGGTTCTCTATGTACTTGGGTGCTAGACACTGTACGCTCAGGATTATGGGGCAATGTTAATTTCTTTCTGTTTGTGTGTTTGTGTGTGTGAAACCCTTAGGTATGCTATGAAGCTGTTTCCTGCACATCCAATACTTTGGTCCAGTTTGCTGGTTTTGTTTGCTTTACAAATTGGTAGGTAACACGCACACATGCTTGACGAACACACACACACACACACACACACACACACACACACACACACACACACACACACACACACACACACACACACACACACAGAGTTAGTTGGTTATCTTGCTTTCCTTGTATACAGTAATCACAGTAATTGGCTTCCTCTAATTCTTCCTAAATCACGGAAAATACCCAAAAATGTGGATTAATTAAGCATGGTATATTTTGAAGAAAATATGCTTTCATATTTTGTATAATCTGAATGGAAGTGCATTGATGCTTACATTGGACCACTTATGTGTGAGGGTCTTTAAAGTTATAACTTGACCATCCGTTGCCTTTAGTTTCCCCCCGTGCTAAAACTCCAAATGTATTTACTCCTTTAATAGAGGCTGAAGCTGACTTTTCAGATGTCTGTCAGGATACAATGGCTGCTGATGACGTGAGAATCAATGTTTTTTATATTGTCCAAAGCTCACACAGTCACATAAAAGCCACCCACTTTAATGCAGATGTATTTTCTGATTTCTATATTCTGTTCTTGTTGTTTGTGGTACTTTTTTCAGATCGATGTACTGAGTTCTTCAGTGCAGGGGCATCATGTAGAGATGGAAGATATATATGATAAGGTTTACTGCCTCCTTTACCCAACAAATATACTCAACTGCTCCTGGTCATTTAACACCTTACAGCAGGATACTCAGCTCTTTGTCAACATCAGGTATTTAAAAAAATGATACATTACACATGTGGCATAGAGAGTATTTATGAATAATTAAAGGCATACTTACATCCCTTACATTCTCTTTCCCTCTGTTTTCATGCAGCATCTGTGATGGTGACAAATCAGTTCAGTCTCCTGACCTGTCGTCTGAGGAGAAAGTCGCATCAAGGTCTTTGGCTCTGCATGATCACAAGATGTCACTTTTAATCCTACACTTCAACATCACCCTGCACGACAAGTGGACAGTCTACGCCTCCAAATACGACCTCAACATGCTAGGTAATACAAGACAAACTCTCATTGAGCTCTTGAGTAGGGGAAACAGGGTAGGTTTATCTCACTTCTAGGGTTCAAAAGCTAACCAATAGGTCAATATCACGATGAAATAAACTTGATAATGGAGTGACAGGAATTTTGGTGTCCTACGTCAAAATAATAAAAACATTTTACCATATAAAAAGAGAGGGGAAAGCTATAGTTGATTTTTTTCACTGGCTAGTAACATATGGTTGTAAGCTTAGTTGCTAGCAGAAATCCGCAGTTCCGCCTGCATTTTTTATAATTATTTTACTAATGTTGTGGTTGTGTGTGCCACAGAGGTTCTGTCTCCACCCCAAAACATCTCTGCATCAATCAAAGATGGAGGTCTATTGGTGACATGGGGTCTGCCCCACAGTAGAGCCCACATCAGCTCCTCCTGCTTTGAATACCAGCTGGACATGGGTGACCAGGTACAGTATACATGTGTGGATATGGATGTAAATTATTCAATAATGTAGGTTACGCTTCCTATGATGCCTTATAATGCATTGTAAACATACTTCTTATACACAATAATGCTTGTATCACTGGTTGATTATCAAAATAAACATTTACTCCATTAAGCTACACCAGAATGCATTCTACCTACAAGGATACAACCTGTTTTAGCAAAAGCGCAAATTATATCCAATAAAGCATTTTCTCTATCTATCTCACTAAAATCCCTAAGAAAGCAGCACCTGCAGTGTCAACTCTTTCTGTCACATAATAAGTGACAGGTGCTTTATTATATGACAGAGGATTTTTATTAATCAGATCAGTAGACCTCCTCAGTACGTTTTGAATGATTTGAGTGGGTGAGAGAGCGCACTGAACACAGCTTCAGACCCTATCACTTAGTTTATGCTTGTGTAATAGAAAATGGCATAACAAAGGCCTTAATTCAGATTTATACTGTATTGTTCTTTATTCTGCTTGTTTTGGAGGTCTTCTTCCTGTTTAATACTTACATTTTGTATGAATTCTACCATTAGGTTATGTTTTGGCTTGGTTTTTCCGTCTGTCTGTCAACAGGATTAGGAGGGAATCAGACAGTGATGCCACTTTGTTTACTTCAGTAACATAGTGACATCACTATGTAACACTCAAGATTCTATTGGTTAGCGCTCAACACTTGACACGTGACAGGCTAAGGGGCGGGACGTCTCTTAGCGGTTGACCAATCACAACAGAGCCGGCCAGCTAACCAATCAGAGCAGACTGGGCTCTGGTTTCAGACAGAGGGTGAAAAGAGGCGCTGCAGCACAGGCAGGATGAGAAAAATAAAGAGCTTTTTGAACATTAAAGAATGTAAACATGTCACTGTAGAGACACAAAATACAAAAATGATCCTGAAAATCAGCATAATATGCCCTTTTAAAGGCAAACAATGAACACGTAAAGTTACTTCTAATTACAATATATTACATTCCATAAAAGAATATAATGTATTGCAACTGTATGAATCATAATACACCATGACATTTGCCGTAAAAGGTTAGTGAGTGACAATTACGTAAAGTATTATAACACTAGATCTTATAAGTCAATATCAAATACTTTATCATGATTATTGTTATAAAGCATAATTTACAAGTCCTTTCAAAAATAATAAGAGTGCTATAACAACAAATAAGTATGTTTATAATGCATTATAGACCGGGGCATCTTAGTAAGTGTTAATATATTTGAGCTTTAAGTGCATTCTTTTGTTGATCCTTTATTTTCTTTTAAACAGGAAACACCCAAAGAGTTGAGTGAGCAGCTGTTCTATAGAGAGCCCAAAGTAGATCCCTCCTCCACCTACAGAGTGAGGATGAGGACAAGGAAGGGCAGCAAATGTGTGGAATTTTCTCAATGGAGTGAATGGAGCCATGCACTCAGTGAGTAGGGCTTTTTACATCTTGAAATCATCCCCATCCATCTACACACAAGTTTAATTGGTATCATCTGTATGTGTGTATGTGTGCTTGTAGCTGTGGAACAGTCCAAACTCAACAATCTAGTGATCGTCTCAATTTCACTTGGAATACCCATGATCCTCCTGGCTGTGCTGCTGCTGCTGCGCCATCAGAGGTACTGTTTCTGTCTCCCGCTGAATAACTAGCATGATGATTGGTGTGTGAGACGCACACACTCACATCTGTACAGCTCCTGAGAGACTATTTTATATTATTTGTATTCTGCCTCAGTTTTCTGTTTCTAATCTGACAACAGACACTCTGTCCTGTCTTCTAAATGTGAAACAGTGTCAGACGACAAAAAAGATGTCAGCAGAGTGGGGGCAGTTATAAGGAAAACAAAGAAAAGGGAACTAAAAGGAGTGTATGGGTGGTTGCGGTGGTGTCTTTTTTTTTGTAAAGCCACAAAAGACATCCACCCTAAACTTCCTTAACGTTAAGACAGAAACCCCCCCCCCCGGAGAGACACAGGGGTAAACACAACATGAAATGCTGATAAACATTAAGGACGGATG